TTTAATTATTTGCCGTCGAGTTTTTTTTTTTTTTTTTTTCCACAATTTTCCAGTTGGATTCTTCAAGTTCTTCTTCTTTTTTTTATACTTTATTATCATTATTATTATTATCTTTGTTGTTATTATTGTTATCGTTATTTCCTCGTCGTCGTGTTCCTTTACTGATTTATTGCATTCATTAAAAAAAAAAATAATAATGATGATAATGATAATAAACTACAACAGGGTAATTTATTTTGGAACATAAATCAATTCGCAAATTATTATTATTATCATTATTATTATTATTATTATTATTATTATTATTATTATTATTATTATTATTATTAATATTATTATTATTATTAATATTGTCACGTGTACGTGATTTTTTTTCCCCCCTTTTCCGTTATATTTTTTCTTTTTTTTCTTCTGACACTGCATTAAAGGATAACAAAATGTTTTTTTTTTTTTTTTTTTTTTTTTCTAACATTTCCCGAATCGATAATCATTTTTTTGGTTTCTAATTTTTTTTCTCGAAAAATAATAATAATAATGATAATAATAAAAGTATTAGAAAAAGAAGAAAAACGGGTCAAAAGGAAAATTTTGGATTCGATAATGCACTAAAAGTTTTTCCGGCGGGTGAGTTCCAACAGCAAAAATAGGGCTAAAGATAATATTTTTAAACCTTTTTTTTTTTTCTCTCTCTCTCTCTATTTCTTTTTCTCTCTTTCTTTTGTTTTCATTTTATGTATCTCTCTCTCTCTTTCTCTCCCCCTGTATTTCCTTTTCTTCTTTTTTCTCTCTCATTCTCTCTTTCTTTGTTTTCATTTTTTGTGTGTGTCTTTCTCTCTTTCTCTCTCTCTCTCTGCATTTTCCTTTCTATTTCTTTCTCTGTTTATTTTTTTGTTTTTTTCTCTTTCACTCTTTTTCTTTTTTATTTTTCATTGTCTCGTTCTCTCTCTCTCTTTCCTCATTATTTTTTTTTTCTTTCTTTCTTTCTATTTATTTTTTTTCTGCGTTTCTTTCTCTCTCTCTCTTTTTCTCTATTCCTTTTTCTGGGATTCTCTCTTTCTCTATTTCCTTTTCTTATTCTCTCTCTCTCTCTCTTTCTCTTTATTTCGTTAATACAAAATCGAATTTTTTTTTCTAAATCAGGATACAAAA